CTGACGCGACGTAGGGAGCGGAGGGGTGGGTGGCGGGGGCGGTCGGAGGCGCCTCGAGGGCGCCACTCGACAGCGAGGAGAGGGCCACTCGATGCGCGAGGGGGCGCTTCGCCGATGAGGGCACGCGTGAGGGGGCCGGAGGAGGGTGGGTGGGCGCGGGGAGCGGTTTCGTAACCTGTGGCGCATACAAAGCCGCTGTGCAGGGTCGCCGAGGGGTAGTGGCGGCGGCGGGGGCCGGCGGCGGGGCGGGGGCGGCCTCGTTGGGGGTCGGCAGCGGCGTTTGCAGCCGGTCGCTCCCAATAACGACGCTTTGCCGCAAGGGTCCCTCTAAAAATCGCACCGAGACAAACACGTTTGGGCCCGCGACGCGCTGTTGCGGCGTGCGCGGCGGCGGCGGCGCGGCGCGGGCCGGGGCGGAGAGCGCGGGGGAGGACGAGGGTGGGGCGGCCACGCGCGCCCGTTTGCCCGTCCCCGCTGCCGTGCTCGGCGCCCCCCGCTTCAGCGCCGCGCGCCCGTCGCCAGCATCATCGCGCACGCGGCCCTACTGTCCCATTGAGCTCGGCTGCCTCGCCGCGTCCCTCCTTTGGCTTCCCCGCTCTCCAGATCGCCGATATTCCCAATAACTCATTGCCGCTCTTCTCGGCATTCGTTTTCTTTTACTGTCTCCAATACGTGATATAGAGAAATGTTATGTAATGCTGAAAAAAAATTACGTCAAGAGATTTTGACGGAAATACACCTTTGAGGCTGCTCAGACGAAATACTTTCCAAAAAAACATTTGTTTCAGCGTCGTCCGTACATGTCATTCGGTTGGTCTGTCTTTCTAGTCCGAAACAGTTCACATCTTTTCTCCTGAGTTGTAGATTCTCGGTAGTTCCGGACGAACTGGAAACTTTATTAAGTTTATTTTATTCATGTAAGATGTTTTCTAGGGCAGATTTTTGGGGTTCTTTCATTGAAACCATGATCACAGGTTTTACAGAACTTTACAATAATATGAAGTAGTCCGGTGCTATTTGCAGCACTGCTAGTTTTATTAGTTTTCGTTTTGAATATTTCTGCACAGCTGAGTAATTGTGAATTTATGTCTCAGTATTGCCGTTTCTATTTATGTATTTTACTTGCTTAGACATCACTTTGTTCCTGTATCTGATTTGGGTGGGTTAGATTTCAATTCCTAGGCCATTGTCTTCTTCACGCTATTGGTTTCGTTTCTTGTATTCCACAACACTACTCTCCTTTTACTGTTGCTATCTTATCTTACAATTCCCCGCGTCTTGTCAGATATGTTGATTCTTTTTTACTTCTAGTTCTCTAGCATCTAGTACTCGTTACGCTTAGTCACTTGATTCCTATTTGTAGCTCGCAACACCCTACTCTCTGCAAGCGCGTTTCATGCTTCTCTTATAGCTTTGGCGATCCACGCCCTATTCCGGTCACCCCACCAACTCACCTCCGCCACCCCATCCTTCATCCACCACGCGCCCCGCCCCGTCTCGTACCACCACCCCGCCCGACGCCGCCCCCTCTCCGTCGCCAACCTACAGCGCTCTCGTGCCTCGGCGAGTGGCTATGGGCGTGGGCACGTAAGTGCTGAGGCAAGGAGACGCCGCAATGGATTAAACGAAATTGAAGTTGGCAGGGATTAAGGTTAGTGTTGGCTTGGTCGAAAAATGTGCAGTGATATAAGGGAGCGTCCGAGGGGAGCGGGCGAGGGCGGCGGCGCGGCGGCCAAAAGGGCGGCAATGGTCAAATGGAGGGGGGGCGCGCGGAGGGGGGGATGCGGGGGAAGAGGCGGGGTTGCGGGCGGTCGAAGTGGCGGAAAGAGTGTAACTGGGGAGATGCGCGGTGGGGCGACAAGAAGTGAGACACAGCAGATTGAAGCACGCGGGGATATCGGACGTTTGGATTGCCCGAGCTGTGTAGGTATACGATGGGGAGACTGAGTGGAGGTGTAGCGGCGGGGAGACCGAGGTGGGATTGCGGAAGCGGGGGTAACGCGGTGGGGATGGTGAGGCGGGGATGCCAGGGGACCCGTGGGATTCCTGTATGAATCAGGATTTTAAATGGAATTTTTTTACTCTATATTTGGAACATTGACGGACGCTAATTGGAGCAGTGCTTTTGCAGTTAGCAGCAATGAATTTCTGCAGTTAGAGATTTTTATGAGAATTACAATACATCAATCAATTAGTCATTATCATAGAGCTACTAGAATTTGGCATTAAAGATTTCAGGACTACTACGCGGACACCTTAAATGATTAACCACTTTATTCGGGAATCTTGTGTGTGTTAGAATATTTATATATTGTGATAGAATATGCGATATTTGGTATCATTAATTAAAAGAAACCTAATTTCGATACTCATATTGTCGATTCTTGATTGTTGATATTTTAATTGTTCATTTGTATGGATATATTACTTTATATAAGGCAATTATAAAATATCTTTCTCTGATAATTGAAACAATTTTGAACGTATTATAATAAATTATGTTTCAAATCGCATTACCTTTTCCTAAACAAATCCTTATATTTTGAAAACAAAATATAGTTCCTTTCTATTCAGTGCGACATTCACCATTTGTTTCGTTTATATCAAAACAGTACCGCACATTTGGTATTGATATCACAATATTAAATTCTCTAGTTTCCATGCCGGAACGTATTGTATCTAAATAAAAGTACTTCAAATACTTCGTACTACATGTCTACCCTATTACAATACTATATTATCAGAAAATAAATTAAAAATAAAATTCTGAACTATATGCAATTGCGATTTGTAAAACCTTTTCTTTCTGTTTATTTATGTGGGTTCTCAATTCCAAATTATTTATTTATTCCTTTTAGGAACCTTCGCCCAATATTTTTCGCCCAACAAAAAGTTAATTAAAAATTAGTTCTTCAACACACTAGTCCAATAGGGATAGTCCATAGCATTAACACTAATTTTTTTCGTGAATACGTTAGGAACGTGTCGAACACATTATTGGACGTGACAATGAATATAAAGGAAGTGGACAACTAAAGAAATACTGTAAAGCAATTTCATATCATCTAAATCTATATAGCAACCGCGAAGGTGGAGATTGATATAAAGGAAAATTTCCTCTTATATTTATATTTAAAGACAAAATATTTAGTGTGTTATGTGTGATAAGTACAAAACAACGATTCGGCAAAAACGAAATGAAAACATTCCTTGAATTCATTCATCATTTTCACACTTAATCTTTCACTGATCGCTTACTTAGAACGTTATATAAAGTAGAAATTGCTTTTTGAACAAAATATATTATTGTTATCTTATCTTTTTATTAAATTATTATTGAATCATGGTCGTGACTAACGCAGAACTTTTCAGCCGCATTTACAAAAACACTCAACTGCGTCGCCACTGGGCTGGGCCTACCGTTTCGTCTGCTTCCTTCGCTGCTCTTCCTCGGGAACATTTTTTTGCCTCTGCCATGGCTGTCGCCTGCTAGGACGCGGAGGGCGGCCTAATAGCAGTAAAATATAATTATACTTTCGGTTTTCTGTTTGTTTATTAAGGCAGTTGAGAAAGAAGGACGTTTTTACGACTTAAAAAGGAATAAAAAATAATAAATCGACGCCCAGGGAAATTTCAAAAATGAGGTACACCTCTTTTATCTTCACTTTAAATGGGCCTATTTAGATGACAGCAGACTGCGGGAGAATGTTGCAAATAAGTGTAAGGTATTTTCAAGGCCTGAATTGAAATGTGGTGGAGTGCTTCTTACTTACAATGCTTCTTCTGTTTCCCTGATCAGGGATGTTGAAATTGGATCCCAAGAGTATATACTTCGTTTTATATGTTGTTTCCGCGTGTGGTGTTATTGGTTTTTGTTTTTGAGATGCGGATATTTCGTATTAATAATTTTGTTGTAATATCGCACGTCGGTCAATACATACACACACATAAACCTTATCAGTCTCATTTTGTTCTCATCACGTTCTTCCTTTCTCTTAACATCTAATTTCCTCTGCAATAGATCTAAACAAGTATTACAATTATTTTGCAAAATGTTTAGTACAGTAGAGTAGTATGTAGAGCACATATTTTTAAAATACGTTTAATTTATTTTCCATTTCTGTGTTCCATAAGTTAGATCACTGCCTGTATATATGAGTTTTATGGCAACACTTTCACAACATTTATCAAAACGAGACTGACTTCTATAATAATATTTATAAATATTTAAAGTGATGAATGAGATTCATATAGGAGTCAAAGATTCAGAATCTGTTTGAAGATCAAGTATAAGTGGAAAATGAAAGTAATACGTTTTCACTTTTCAGAACTCGAGCTTTAATAATTTTTGTTTTCTTTCTTTTTGTTACTTCCTTTGAAATTTGTATTCAGTATCTTCAACAAAGTTTGTCATTTTACTTCCAGATGAAAACATGTCCAATAATTAATTTATGTCAACATCTGATAATGCGTGAAACCTACACGCGAAACGTCGTAGTGTGAAAAGACTTTGTGAATTGCATTTTGTTTATAAAATAATTAACTATATTTGAATGGAAGAAAACCAGAACGGCATAACTGATATTTTATAAATTCTGGAAAATTTGTTTATTTAAGTCAATTTCACTGTAAAGTTGTGGTGTTTTGTGTCATCATTAAAACCACGACATATCAATTGTTCAATAAAGCCACGATAATACATGAAACCACGGAAATATAGACTCAAATAAACAATTTTTTATCATAATTTATAAAATGCCACTTATACCGTCTAGCTTTTCACCCATTCATGTGTGTTTTTATTGTTAACTTCGTAAGATAATCACATCAATTGAAGATTTATCTGTGGTTAGGACACTGATGAAACAGTACGAGTAATAGTCTTAACTCAAAATGTGTTAATGTTTTGATTAATGTTGCTCATAATTGCATTCTAACATGCAATTCGTGCAAATAATCGAGAGAGCGGTTTGATAATGAAACTGTGTTTTCTGTTGCAGTGAAACCCGTGGCGGTGCACATCCTCACCAAGGAGAAACACGTGTCCGCCGACAGACGCTACGAGGTAGAGTGCAAGTCCTCCGGTTCCCGGCCCGAGGCCGTTATCACATGGTGGAAAGGCAGTCGCCAGATAAAGCGCATCGCCAAAAATGTAAGTGCCTGGTTGATGTTTTTATATATTGTTGCCCATTTTTATTTATTGATATATTGTCAGATATTTTCATTATCCTTCACCCTTCATGAATACTCTAACCACTGTCAATGGAAGGTAATGGCAAACCACCACTGTGATTACCTCACATTCTCATGCTCGGAGGCACAGTATGGCATTCATCATTTTCATCATGAACATCCTGTCGAAAAGCAGATTAATACTGGTGGTTGATCATCGTTCTGATGTGGTCTTCTTAATTGGATCGTCATTATTAATGAAGTAGTTAAAATATTGGGTTGCGATTTGGTTTCTATTTGTTTTCTTGTAGAGCAGACATGAAAAAAAGCATACATTTAGAATAATGCTAGAATATTCACTTTCTGGTGTTTTCTAATCCCTTGATATCTGATTACAGTTTTTTAAAAATGTTCTTACATAATTTCTGTGACTTTTCTCTTGAAGGAGTGTAGAATCTTGGAGTATCTCCAGTAAAAGGAATTGCATGTTTGATTTGATTTTAGACTCAAATTGAAATAAATAATTCTTTACTAAACCAAGCAAACCTACAGTTCAGCCAGTAATAAAATTTAAAAATTAGATATAAACACTCGTGAAAGTTATATGCTTCCCTGGCCCCAAGAGCTTGTCTCATACGTCACGTCAGCAGGAGCGCATTCTGTTCCGGTCCATTCTTTCTTGTGACAGTGCTGGCAAGCGGAACAATCTGTTTTTCCGGCATCTCGAGGGCCGGCACTGGCGGCGGCGGCGGCGGAAGGTTTGAGACGCTTAATGGCCGTCGCCGATCTTAAATCAGAGTCCAGCAGTTCCTTCTTCGCCATTTGCCCCACCAGATTGCGTGTCCTTTTGTTTTCGGTGGTCTGGCCTCGGCTTATCCAATTGCCGTTCGCACTTCACTCGCACTCGGTCTAAAAGGAATTTACGAGAAGACATTAACTACTGTCATTATCACTTGCATGGCTTTGGTATTGGAGTACAATCGTTCATTAAAGAAATATTTATTCGCTGCTCATGTGTAATATTGACACCTGCATTGACATCTGCGGGCATCGTGCCTGTTCGAACTCGTCCGTGTATTTCGTTTCCTCTCAGAAACTAAGAAAGGTGATGCGATGCACCGGTGTCTGTTTCTGTTTTGTTGTCCATTTACTTTTATTTTGCCTTTTCTGAGGTGGTATTTGTGTATCACAAATGTGGCTTACGTATTTTCCTTCCTACACTTTGTAAACAATTATTAGACTTCCTGTTGTAGAAAGTATGGTGATAATTCTTTCTTCTTTGTGGCTGTGATCTCGTGATGCTCTTCATATTTTGCACTCTCTTCTCGTACCAAATTAGAATGATATTCATTATTTAAGACAAACACAAACGCATTAGGTATTCAAAAAGAAAGCTGTAAAATAAAACGTTCCAAAATGAAATATGTTCACAGAAAACATTTGCCTATAAAACAGAAATAACTGTATATTATTGTTGTGTATTTACCTGCTTGTACGATAAATATTTCAAGATTTGTTTGCAGTAAAACAAAAGTTATGACAGCAGTTCACGTATATTAAGGTGTGTGGGTGTGTTTTAACTCGTGATGTTAGTATTTCACATTTTCACGAGCTACGGATTATTGACTTATGAACGCATTCGAAAAAATAAGAGGAAATAGCTTTCCTCAACACACATTTATTGTTGTCCCAAAAGATACGAAAATACAAACATTTGTCAGGCAATGCTACCGAATGTTTCACGCATTAATTGCTCGCATCGCACTATTAAGTAAACAACGTGGTTTGGAATTCTGTACCATATTTTGACAAAATCGACAGGTACATAAGAGTCCGTTGTGTGCAATTTTTTCTCTTTAGTTATATGAGCTTTTGTAGAAAACTGCTAAATGTCAAACCAAAATTACTGTAATACCTGGATACTTTTTAAATATCATTCCTATAATTTTCCAAGGGCTACTGGAAAAATCAGTCTAATAAAGGGCTACTGGAAAAAAAAGGTCAGCTACTACCAAAATCAGAATTGCTTGTTATGAAATATTTAGTAGTGAAAATTGCACTACAATAGTAGGGTGCAGGGTAAACGTGCAGTAATTCGTGTATGATGCAATCTTTATATAGGTTGAGGACTTCTGTCTTAACGGCGATACTACTTCATTACGTTCCCCACAGTGAGAGGCCTCTGCTGAATAGAATTGAATGCATCGTGGCAACAGAGCGATTTCAGTGATTTTTGCACACCAGAAGATGAATGAACTTTCTGGGTATCCAAACATTTCTCGGTTGGGTTGTTTGTCGTAATGAAAATGAAAGTTCAAGTCAAAGTACCGCAAGGTACACCAGGTTACATCAGGCCCATCACAACTGGCCGCTTCATTGAAAATGTATTTAATTATTCATCCTAAATGTTCGAAAACATACACATCCTCAAGAAATTGTGCATCATTGCTGGCGATTGTATTTCTTCACTACCTAGATGAAAAAAACAGTTATTGCTAAAAAAATAAGTGAAAAATTAAAACCGATGTTTTTGTTTTCACACAAGCATTTGCTCTATAGCATAGAGACAAATGTATTTATAACATATCAATATTTTTTTCTTCAATCTTAGGGTAATTATTATTCTATTTAATTGTATGACTGCAATGCTCCTGTAATGTTTTAATAATATTCCACGAAGGATCACGGAAAATCCTCAGTACATGAAGCGATAAATAATTTCTTGTGGAAAAAGTAAAATTTCATACATGGGTATAAAATTCCACAAAATATCGATTCCCTAACCACTACACATTATCATTATGCTGTCCCAATCTTTTCAGTTCAGAATCTATTGCCTGCTTATCCGCAGGTGAAATTAGAGGGTATATTTCCAAAGTTATTTTTCTCCATTCAACAGAAACGGAACGCATTCATTATTTAATTTCACCACTCAGAACTGACTCTGGGCGGAAACCAGGAAAGCGGGGTTCGATTCCCAGTCCAGAAGGTAATCCTTCAAACACATTTATTTTTTGAAAATATTAACGTTTATCCTAACGTTTCAAGATAGATACAACAGTTTTCGGATACAGATTAACATAGCAAATTATACCAAATTTGTTTGTACAATATTTGGCTGCATTATGGAGATACTTATTTAGAATATATTGTTACGTATACGAAGAATATAAATAGAAATGGAGATAATTGAATGGGTTTTAAAATCTTTTAGGTGCACAATGTAAAAATGGTTATTTTTGCATCAAGAGTTTTATAAGAGTTTTAATCACCGAGCGGCGACAAAATGCCAGAGGCCCTTTGGCCCGAGGTCATTTTCTCTCCCGGGTTCATTAGAACCAATTAACGCCTGTGGTACATACAAAATTTTATTCTTTATCTACTTTTATTGATTCGGATTCATTTATATACTAATTAACTAGATGTTAACTTGACTCAGTTTGTCTTTTCATAATTCCCTCCATAAATTAACATTTAGCATCATCTGTTTTCATATATTCCTCGTAACCACGATCCAGTCGATCTTGCTAAGTTATGCGGTTTATTTCGAGTTCCGAATAGAAGGCAATAACAACCTATCAGTAGAAAATAAAGATATTATGACCGTCTTTGACTGCCGTTAATTAAAAGACTATAAAACCTATTAAATGTAGAGAGACGATGAGAAGAAAAACCATATGTAAGAGATGGAGATTCGTCACTTCGGATCTGCGCCCTTCAATTGGGCGCCGTCCTCGTTGCGGTGCGCCGGGGGGGGCCTCGCGCGGTCCGGCGCAGAGGTCCGTCAAGCGGCGGCGCGTGGGCGGCAGTGGGTCGCGCGTCGCGCCCACCCAGCGGAAGCCAGTGTTCCAGGCCGCGCGGAATCCCCCGTAGCTCCCGAAGGCCGCCCCGAATACCCGCCGATCTCCGTCGAGCATGGACCTAAAGCTTCGGCCATTCAAAGGCCCTGCGGCCCCGAACCGCAGCCCGTTAGACCCCCGTGCCCTCGGCAATCCCCCCCACCACATGTGTCACTCAGTCGGAGGCACCATCCGCCGGCCGCCCCCCCCCCTCTTGCCTTCCGCGCCTGCCGGTCCCCGTTACACTTTGGCACTCGTGGCTCTCTGGCCGCCCTCGCCCCCTCGCCGCCTCGCCGCCCTCGCCGCCCTCGCCGCCCTCGCCGCCCTCGCGCCCTCGCCGCCCTCGCCGCCCTTCGCCGCCCTCGCCCCCTCCCGCCCTCGCCGCCCACACCACCCTCATTCATCCACGACGTCGAGGTCATCCCCGACCTCGTCGCCGTACCCGCGATACGTCATGGGGACCGTCCCTGCAGCCCTCACAGTTTTCCATCCATCCCCACCGCTTTACCGCAGTCTGACTACTGCCCTCGCCGACCCCGCTGCTTACTGCCGCCTTCGCCACTTTACCTCTCTCCTCGTCCTCACCGCCCTCACCATCCTCTGCACCGTCCGCACTTGCCGCCGCCGACCCCGAGGGCGCCGCACCCTCGCACCGGAAGAGACTCAACCGCCCCTTGTCTCGCTCCCCCTGGGCGCTGCCCCGCCGCCCACCCTCGTTTCGGGGATCCTCTTCTCCGAGCCGCACTCACATTTATAGTTTCCGTTCGATCGGTCGAGGCTTTCGAGCGGCCGGCCACATTCATTTGCCGTTATGCGGGCTACGTGAGCTCCGTTTCGAGAAATTGGACAATGCCATAGACAGGTGGAACATTCAATATTATAGTGCAAATAAAAAAAATATGCTCGACGCAGCTGATCACAGCAGCCGGCTGACGGCTTTGACGCCACACACACGACGATGTTAAACACCTCGTTCAAATCTCCGGCATCTGAAAGGCATCGAATCCGCGACCTTCCAATCACTGCTCGAGTCGTTGATAGCGGCGTCAGTGGAGATACTTATTGGTTTTAGCAAATCTTCTAGTTTATTTCTTTACAAAAATCGCGAAAAGTCAAGAAATAAGTTCTCGAGGAGGTTGCA